ACAGATATGGTTCCACAATGTTTTCCTCTTTCTGTACCATAAGAAGTATGATGTCTAATCCAACAGCCACTTTCTACATGAAGACTTTGCTAATTCCTCTATTGGTGCCCCCCCTCCCCAAAATACTTTTAATTTACTTTGTATATATGTTTTTATATATTTATATATGTACATGTTGTCTCTCCTGCTAGACTGTAAACTTTTTGAGGGCAGGAACTATTTCTTTCTTTTTTTCTTTGTTTCTCTCTTCCTTCTTTTTTTCCTTTCATTCTTTCTTTCTTTTTTTTGTATCTCTAATACTTAGCACAATGCCTACAACAAAATAGATGCTTAAAAAAGGATTGTTGAAGATAATCTTGGCACAAGTCTCATTACTTGTCATGCAGGACTATTGAAAGGGCCTCCTAATAGGCCTTCCTGCCTCTTCTTTCTTCCCCTTCCAAACATTCTTCACACTAATTCTAGACTTGTCATAGATCTGATCATGTTACCTCTTCACTCAAAACCCTTCAATGGTTCTCTGTTGTTTACTGAGTAAAATTCAGACTCCTACCACCCTTCCTTTCCACCCTTTTCTCATACTCTTTTCTTCTATACATAGTGTTTTAGATGAACTGAATTATTTTCCACTTTCCCCTTAGTCTCCAGTATACATACTTGCCCAGTATACTTCTTATACTGTACTTTGCTAATACTGCTCTTACTCAAAATAAAAAATGTATGCCTGTCAGTTGGGTTACCACTAGGAAAAACTGTGAAGTAGAGAAAACTTATATTCAGTTTACAACTACCTTCCCTTTCAACCATAACTTTCTTGTGTTTCATGGTATCTCTTTAATCTTCTCCATTTCCCCTTCCCCCAGCCTCCAAATTAGGCTCCATAGATAATTGCCTCCATACCTAAATGTCTTTGTATAAGTAATTTCATATAATTATTCATAAAATAAATTATTACTTGCACATTATGAACTCACAATAAACTCTTGGCTATAGTCACTAGAGAAAGGGGCTAATGACATACATAGTCATTAACTGCTGATAATCCCCAGACTGCTTATATTGTCCTGAAGAAAATGTTTTGAATAAGGGTGTCTCATGTTCTAGGAATTCACAGTAGTTCTCCATATTTTCTCCCTGTTTCTCATTCAAAGCTGGGAATGGAGATCATCACCTTTGGAACTGATACAAAACCAATCTAAGTAGAAGAACTCTTTCTAAGCTTGGTTTCCATCTTCTCTTCCCAGGCAGGGAAAGAGGGGAGGTTTTAAGTTGCTGTTGAGCCTGACTCTAGGGAGAGAACCTCAAACTTCAAATAAAGTAAGAATAAATAGAAATGGAGGAATTTGTTACGGGTAAACTAGCTGAGCATTTACTAACTAGACAGGGGAAAGTTAGAGGTGTTTAAGGAGTAAACATTAGACAATGTTTTAAAAATGATTACAACTGGCCAAGCTAGGTTCCCTGGAGTCAGGAAGATGTGAATTCAAATCCAGCCCCAGAAACTTACTAGCTGTGTGAACCTGGGCAAGTCACTTAATTCTGTTTGCCACAGTTTCCTCATCTGTAAAATGTGCTACAGAAGGAAATGGCAAACCACTCCAGTATGTCTGCCAAGAAAACCCCAAATAGGGTCATGAAGAATCAGAGGAAAACGAATGAAACAATGGAAGGGCAGTAACAATAACAAAAGCTTTCAAGTATTTACATAAAGAGTGAATTTGTTGGGGGCAGTGGCACTGTCCTCCAGAGGCACGGTGAGGTGTAATAATTTGAGGAAAAAATTCACTGTGTGACTACACTGACATACCTCTGCTTCCATTTTCTTACTATTTCCTACAATCGGTGTTGAAAATGTGAAAGGTGCTGCTGAGATTATTTTCTTCCTTCAGGGTCCCATTCATACCCTGTGGTTTCCATGGTTTCTCATTAGTCCTGCCCAATGAGAGGAAGGGCACCTTGCTTGTACCTCTTCTCTGTATCTCTCCTACTCTCCGTTGCATCTCAGTTATTTGTGTGGTCAACCTTCCCCTCATTAGATAGTGAATTCCTTGAGAACAGGGTTTATGTGATATCTATCTTTGAATCCCTGGCACCTATCCCAGTTCTTTGCATAGTATAGGGGCTTGAAAATGTTGGCTAGATATGTTGACTCAAAGGGATATGCAAGTAACCATCATTATATAGCCATAGAATATTCCCAAAGCCAACAATATCCATTTCCATCTCTGTACATGATCATATGCCGCACAGCATGCTGTAGAGAGACAGCAAGGTGGAGAGGATTTCTCCTCCCTTTCCTGGCTAAACTCCTTGAGAAGACTGTCTACAGTTGTTGTTATTGAGCCATTCAGTCATGTCTGACCCCATGGATTCGTCTTCCACGGGTTCTTTTTGGCAAAGATATTGGAATGGTTTGCCATTTCCTTCTCCAGGGCGCCCCATTTTACAGATGAAGAACTGAGGCAAATAGGAGTTAAGTGACTTGCCCAAAGTCACACAGCTAGTTTGAGGTAGGATCTGAACTCAGATCTTCCCAACTCCAGGCCCAACACTCTATCCACTGTACCGCCTACCTGTCCCCACTTCTTTCCCTCTCATTCTTATTTTCGTTCTCTACAGTCTCTTATCTTTAGGCTCCGGACTTCATCTGAAACTCCTCTCTCCAAAGTTATCAAATGATTTCATAAATTGCCAAATCAAATGGCCTGTTTTCAATGTTCATCCTTCTTGACCTCTCTGTAGTCTTTGACCCTGACAATCACCCTCTTCTCCTTGATAGGTTTCCATGATACTACTCTTTCCTGGTTCTCCTCCTAATTATCTGATTGCTCCTTCTCTGTTGGATATTCAAACAGGTCACACCCGCTAACTGTGGGTGTCCCACAGAGCGCTGTCATGGGCCCTCTTCTTCCTCTATGGGATTTAACTTGGTGATCTCATCAGCTTCCATGAATCCAGAGATCATCTCTGTGCTGGTGGTTCTCAGATCTACTTATCCAGCCCTAACCTTTCTCCTAACCTCTAGATTCTGATCTCCAAATGCCTTTTGGAAAGCACAAACTACATGTCCTAGAGACATCTTAAATCTGACATGAGCAAAATGGAATTCATTATTACTCACCTCAAGTCCTCCCCCCCTACCTAAACTTCCCTCTTACTGCCAAGCACACCACACTTCCAGCCATTCAGGTTCATGACCTCAAACCCTGATTCCTCACATCTCCTTCCTCCTTCCCATCCAATCTGTTGCCAAGGCCTGTTGCTTTTATCTTTGCAAAATCTTTTACATATTCCCCCTTCTGTCCTCTGACACTGTAGTCTCCCTTGTGTTGGCCCTCATTACTTCATGCCTGGACAATTCCAATAGCCTGCTGGTCGGGCTCCTTGCCACAAGTCTCTCCCCACTCTAGTACGTTGTCCATTCAGCAGTCAATGTAATCTTTCCAAAGTGCAAGTCTGACCATATCATCGCCCTTCTCCCCACCCCCCATTGGATACACTCCAGTAGCACTCAAAGCCTTTCACAACCTGGCTCCCTCTTGCCTTTTCAGTCTTCTTACACTTGATTCCCCCGATATACTCTATGATCCAGTGACGTCGGCCTCCCTGTGGTTCCTTGAATAAGAAGCTCCATCTCAAGACTCTGGATACTTTTACTGGTTGCTCCTCATCTTTGCCTCCTAGCTTCCCTCAAGTCCCAGCTAAAATCCTACATTCTATAGAGTGTTAAAATTTCATCTTGTTCTGGTCCCCCTGGCAACCCCTCCCCCCCCACCCCTGTCATGCTTCTAGGCAGTATAGTAAGTTTATAAATAGCCAGCATAAAGTAGCAATAGCATTCCTGTTAACATGGCAAAGGGGTGCCTAGAAGTCACATATAAACTATCCCAAAGATCAGAGAAGCATAATTTGCAATTGTATCCTATATTAACCCAAAATGTGCTGAAATCAGGGGCAGCCATCTAGGTTTGCTGTCAGGGCCTTTTGGTCTTCTGATAATCTAAATCTCAGATAAGCTCCAGGCATCTGCAAATAAGACCAGCAGAACACCTAAAGTAATGATAACTTTGGGATGATGCGGATATGTTAATTTTAATGTTTTACCAGCAACTTTGTAATGATTTGGACGTTTAATGAGCTAACCCCAAGGTAGCATGGATAACAGCTTTCCTCCCAAACCCTATAAAAATGAGACCTCAGACTCCCCCCTCCTCACTTCCAGGACTCTTCCATTCCTATTTCATCCATGGTACTGAGTGCTTCTAATTCTAATCCCTGGTTATGTGAGTGATCATCTGTGCTTCTCCCCCTCCCCATCCTCATGCTGCCTGCCTCCCTTCACCATTCTATCCATGTCCTCACACCATCTGCTTCTGTACCCCCCTTACCCCTTGACCTTATCCTTTCTGTGTCTGTTCACCCCTTGACCCTTGGTGATTTCTTAAAGTATAATTGCAGCTTTACTTCCCACTGCCACCATGGTCTTTCCCGGTGAGTACCCAAAGAACCTGGAATGCCTGCCCCATTGCATAATTTTGTAAATGAATTAGCAATTCATGGAGGAATCCTTTCCAGATCCCCCTTAATGCTAGTCCCTCTCCTTTCTTGATTAACTACAATTTATAGATCTTGTTTGTATATAGATATTTTTATGTCATCTCTCCCATGAAATTGTGAGCTCCTTGAGAACAGGGACTCTCTTTTGCCTTCTTTTTTGTATCCTCAATGCTTAAGCACAGTGCCTGGCATATAGTAGGTGTTTCATAAATACTTAGTGACTGACCGAATAGAGTGCTGGACTTGGAATCAACAAGACTTGGGTACAAATCCACCCTCAGGCAGCTATTAGCTCTGTCACCCTCACTAAGCCCCTTAAACTTTTCTGTGCCTCAGTTTCCTCATCTGTAAAATGAAGGGATTGCACTTGAGAACATCTTCCAGTACAAAGTCTATAATTTCAGTCATGTGGGAAAGAGCATGGACAGGGATGGAACGCGTACCTTTTCTTATACAACAGCTTTATTGGACTCTTTGGACCATGATAAACTTCATCAGTCCAGTAGCACGAAAATGTCTCTAGTTCAGGTGAACGGCACTTGGTATACTGAGGCTTCCCAGAAGGCTCTGCAAAATAGAACAGAAAAGAAAAGTATGAACCCACTGCCAGCAAAATAATAAATAGATGAAGATAAACTTATTTTTGAATAGTCTAAAGCAACTTTAAAAAGTCAACCAAAGCAGAATGGGGAGAATACATGTATTATTTTGGTCTATTATGTCTAAGAGGCAATGGGAAGCCTTGGCAGATTTTTTTTTTTTAAATTCTGGATCATGTTTTTACATCAAGCAGCCTTATTGCAATTTTTACTTGAATTTCAGGAATACATAATTCAGTTAATTCAAGGAACATGACTTTTGTTTTCATTTTCTTTGTCTATAGTTTGCAGCAAAGGAACAGTTTCAAAACTGCATTCTGATCTGAGCTACCCAAGGAGGAGAAATAAGCAGCATGGGGGAAAGAACACTGGAGAGGAGGAAGGAGAGCCAACAAATCACTTTATAATCCTTAATTCTATTCCACAGATGCTCACTGAGCATCTACTGTGTACAGAGCATTGTGCTATGATAAATATAATAGATTTCATGATAAGTATAAAACTGAGTGGCTGTGGGAAATCTGAGGGTGAAGGTCTTAGCATCAAGGTGGATCAGGGAAGGCTTCATGGAGGAGGTGGCATTTGAAATGGACTTTAAAAGAAGATGAGAAATTCAAAAGGTTAAGAGGAGGAAGAAGAACATTCCAGCCATACAGAGAACAGCATGAGCAAAAGCACGGAGGGAGGAAACTTCAGGGAATGTTCAGGAGAGAAAGTAATACATTTTGGCTGGCGGACAGAATACATGGAAGTGAGTAGTATGAGATTAAAGTTGGAAAATTAGGGAGGTATCAGATTTAAATATAAAGGAACCCCAACTTGGTAGGTAAAAGGGTATCTCTGAAGGTATTTGAACAAAAAAGTAAAATGAAATTCTATACACCAGAATATCTTCCATCTCTCTTAATCTTTTGCATTTCTACCTATAATTCAGAGCAGGGTTCAGCAAATTAGGACTTGTGGGCCAAATCTTGCCTGCTGCCTCTTTTTGTACCGTCTGAGAGCTAAGTATGGTTTTTACATTTACTGTTCCTAGCTTTTGGGCTGTATAAAAACAAGCACTGGGGCAGATTTGGGCCTCACTCCGTAGTTTGCTGACTTGCTGACCCTTGATTTAGAGCCTGATTCAAACCCAGGCAGACTAAAGATGATTCTGGCAGTGGTATAGGGGGACAAATTAGAGGTGGGAGAGAGTAGAAGTAGGAAGAGGCCCTCATCATAGTCCAAGGAGGTGGAAATACTTGAGTTCCTTTATGAATAGTAACAGTTGTAATACAAATGAGGAACCTGATATGAGATAGAATAAACAGTATGTAACTGATTAGATAGAGGAAGTGAGGGAGAAGGAATAAGCAAAGCTAATATGAAAATTCTGACTACTAAGGTTTTTGGTAAAAGATAATGTTTGGTTTTGGACATACTGAGTTTAAGGTGCCTCTGGAATAATGAGATAGAAGATGTCATAGCCAATTAGAGATGCTGGTCTAGAATCCAGAAGAGAGGTCATAGTTAGACATGCAGATTTGGAAGTACTCTGCATAGAGCAGGCATTATTAACATGGGGTCCATGAATTTGCTTTTTAATATTTTGAGAACAATATTTCAATATAATTATTTCATAACCTCATTTTATGCATTTAAAAACACTCTTCTGAGGGGCCATAGGGTTCACCAGACTGCCATGGGTCCATGATGCGTTAGAACTTCTGAGTTAGAGGAAATAGTCAAAGCCATAGGAATCAAGGAGATTGACAAAGAAGAGTGTGCAGAGAAGTAAGACAGCTGTGACCGCAGGGGATCATCAGACTTCAAGGAGTGGGGAAGAGAATAAGGAGCTAGGAGCAAAGAAAAAAGGAGGGATCAGAGAGGTAGGATGAGAACCCCTTTATTGTCCCTGTCTCTGAAGCCAAAGGACAAGAGAAATTATCCATAAGGAGGGTGTCATCAACAGTGTCCAGGACTACAGAAAGGTCAAGGATGATGCAGCCCAAGATTTGATTAGAGGATTATCAGTGTTCTTTCGGAGGACAGTTTTGTATACTGGTGGGGGAAGAAACCAGATCACAAGGGAATTGAGAAGACAGTGAATGTGAGGTTGCAGAGGCATCATATGGAGAAAACTTTTTCAAGAAGTTTAGTACTAGAGATGAAAAAAAGAAAAGAGAAAGTAGCTAGATAGGATAGAAAGTCAAGGGATTTTCCCCTAGGATTTAGGATACCTGAGCATATTTGTAGATATATAGAAAAAAATGTCATTAGAAAGTGACTGATGGATTTGCATGAAAGAGGGAATACATGATGAGTCAAGTTTGGAAGGCCAGAGGGGATGGGATGAAAGCTAAAGGTAAAAGAATTATCTCTACCTCTCTGGGCTTTAGACATGTTCTGTAAACTAATAAGGTTGGATTACATTATTTCTAAGATCCCTTTCAGCTCTAAAGTTCTAGGACTTTCTGTAGTAAGGATTGAGATCTGGAAGGGACCTTAGAGGCATCTACCCATCTAAGGCTAAATTCTTGTCCAATCTCCTCATTTTAGAGGTGAGGCAAATGAGACCGAGATGGGGAAAGAGCCTAACGTCACATGAGGTCCTGGATTCCAGATGTAGTGCTCTATCCCTCACCATTCTGGAAGAATGCAACATGTACTATACCTCTGTTAAAGTCATCGTTTGAATTCAGATGCTACCACTGAATGATCAGAACTAAGTTTCACTTCATTATATAAATTATCTTTAAATAAAGGATAGAAAATACAAGTAATCTCAAGTTCCTTTATTTCTCTTGTATTATACATATCGCAAAAAGGCAGAAGTGTGCTAGTAAATGTTTAACAACTGGCTCTGGGGAGGGGGGTGTTCACAGGACACACTTTCATATTGTCTGTATTACTGACATTTTCCCCATCACGTTCTTAAGTCCAGAATATCAAGAATCAAGACAGTCAGTCAAGCCCTGATTTTTAGTGTTCGCTAATTTCCAAAGTGTAAATGCTCACGCTGAAAATTCTCTCCTCAGCCAAAGGGCAAAATGTATGTCATTCCTCAAAATATAAACAAGTAAGAAAAATGGCCATTGTTAACTTTAAAACTTTGGAATATTATAAAAACCAATCTAACCCCCATTTTGTTTGCTTAAACTTAGCAGTAGTGTGGTGTCTCTGTTTCTTCTTAACTCCAGATGTATGGAAAGCTGCATATTCCCTCTCCATCTTGAGCCAGGGACATTGGAAATTAATGGTTATGGTGTTAATGTGATGAAGTGTGTGCCAACATCTGGTGCCCTGACATACACATGTCATGAGGGAAACTTCCTTCTGCAGTGTATTGGGACATGACAATGCCTAGTGTCAGAGGGGAGTAACAAGGGGGAGACAAGTGAGGCATTGTTTGGGGTGCAGAAAACTGAGGGGCACGGAAACATCACACATCAACTATCCCAAGAACGCATGTCATTAGCATGGAAAGGAGCCTTTGGCACAATTGTATATTCTTGCCTCAGGTGCAAAATTAACTAGATAACCATTTACAACCTTGGCCTAGGTGTCATCCTCGATTCTACATGTTCCCTCAGTGTGTGCTCCCCCTAGAATGTTTAACTAGATACCAAGTCTTCTTTTGTTCTGCCATGTAAATGGAAGTTTTAATTATGTTCAGCATTTGTTGAGTTCAGAATTAGAAGAAAATTAAATAAAATTTTTTTTAAAAGTATCTCAAAAGACTGATGGAAGATTAGCAACCCAGGAAGTCCTCAAAGATTTGAGTTTTATCTGAGGCATAAGCAAAAAAGATTCCTAACTTGAAGCTCAAAGGCCCATGCCTAGGAGGCAAAGAGGTGGCCCAGCAGCTACAGGCTAGAATCAGGAAGAACTGAGTTCACATTTTATCTCAATACATTTACTAGCTGTGTGATCCTGGACAAGTCACTTAAAAGCTACCTGCCTTAGTTTCTTCAGCTGTTAAAAGGGGATAATAAAAGCCCTTACCTCTCAGGGTTGTGAGGGTGAAATGAGATAATGTATGTAAAATGCTTAGGACCATACCTGGCACGTTTTTTTGTTGTTCAGCCATTTCAGTCATGTCTAACTCTTTGTGACTCCATTTGGGGTCTTCTTGGCAAAAGATATTGAGGTAGTTTGCTGTTGCCTTCTCTGGCCTATTTTTCACAGTTGAGGAAACTGAGGCAAACAGGGTTAAGTGACTTGCCCAGGGTCACATAGCTAGTAAGTGTTTGGGGCTAGATTTGAGTCTTCCTGACTCCAGGCTTGGCACTCTTACTGTGCCACCCAGATTCCCTACCTGGCACATAGTAGGTGGTTAATAAATACTTGCTACCTTATACTTTCAGTGTGACTAGTATTCCTTTTTAGCATATTTATTCAATTCTATTTTGTCTTGGCTTTTTAAATGAGTGATCTGTACCTTCCCACTGTGTGACTGTGGCTTGCAAATATTAAGTCACTTTTTGCTTCTCTGTCTTTCAGAAAGAGTGAGTCAAAGTTCATTCTTTGACAGGCCCTTTTAATCCAGGGCAAACAATCCTTGGTGAGTGAGACTTAACAGGTGGAAAAGTAGGATATTGGAATGAAACCGAAAATGTTGCTTTCTGGCTAAAGAAACTGGCCACTTAGGATTTTTGAAAAAAGAACTGGTAAAAATAAACTGAAGTCTTTGAGGACATCTGTATCATATTCATTAAAGCTATATGTTAATGAAGAATAAACTGGGCAGAAAAATATATAGAGCAGCAGCTAAAAATGCCCCGAATCAGGCTCTTTGGTTGAGGAAAGGGACCAAATTCCTAATATTAAGTTGACCCAGCAAGCATTCTGTTTTAACTCTTAAAATTGAGGGAACCACAGGATAGGAACCATAGGATTTAGAGTTGGATGGGACCTTAGAGATCATTTAATTAATCTCCCTCATTTTACAGCTGGGGCAACTGAGGCTGTTCAAAGTTATACAAAGAG